ATATAATGTCTCATGCTTAAAATATGTTCTTTAAAACAAAGTTTTATATCAGATCATACAGTATCTCAACAACTGATGTCACTATGGTCCTCATGCAATATTTAGAAACCATCTCACCATCCAATCAGAAGGAGAATGGTCAATTCATAGTGTAGGCAAATGGTAGATTATTTTGTTAAAAAGTGTAAAATTTGTACACAATAGTTACAAGGATAGGAAAATTCTCAAGATGTAAAATTAAATGGAAAGCCAGGTGTGGTGGTGCACGCCTGTAATTCCAGGACTTGGGAGGCTGAGGCAGGAGGATCACCATGAGCTGAAGGCTAACCTGGGCTATATAGTAAGTTCAAGGACAACTGGACTATATAGTGAGAACCAGTCTCAAAAAAATACCCCAAAATAAAAACAAAATAAAAAAAAACTAAACCAAACAAACAAAAATTAAATGGAAAGGATGACATATATTAGTAGATATACTGTAAGTTTTCCTCTAAAAAGTTAGATGTACACATATACATGTATTATTTGTATACATAATCAAAGAAAAGAAACTGGAAAAATCAACATGTTAAAGATTATTTCTAGGGCTGGGGATATAGTTCTGCAGCACAAGCACCTGCCTAGCAGGTGCAAGGTCCTGAGTTCAATCCCCAGTACAAAAAAAAAAAAAAGATTATTTCTAGAAGTAGGAATCTAGGTGAACTTTCTTTTCTTCTACTTATGTATATAAATTTCAATGATGAACCTGTATTACATTTTTATTCCTTTCATAACAAAAAATATTTAAATTATTTAATCACATATGGCTACTTAAACACAAAAATTTTAAATATTTCATTTTAAAATGTATCTTAATTGGTGTGCAGTGATACCAATTAAGCATATTACTTTTGCCACACCCTCACAGTAGGCCTGATTTCTTTTTCCAATGTGATATAATTTAAAGGAAGATGACACCTGATGCATTATAAAAAATCCCTTAAAAATTGGAATTGAGAGAGCAACAGTTTTTTTGCTTCCATATTAGCTGATTACACTTGACCTCCACAACCTTGCAGATGATCTCACCAGCTGAGAGCGCCTCAAGGGTGAGTACCAAAGAAATTATTTGGCTTCTCTCAACACTGGGACATAGCGCCACCTAAAACAAATTAAGGACCCTTAAATCTATTCTGGTGAAGCCAGGAATGGCAACACACACCTGTTAACTCCCATCTACATGGGATGCTAAAGCAGGGGAGTTACAAGTTCAAGATCAGCCTGGACAACTTGACAGGACCCTGTCCCAAAATAAAAGGGCTGAAGTGAGCTAGGTATGGTGGCACACACCTATAATATCATCCAGAAGGCTGAAGCAGGAGAATTGCATGCTTATTTATTTATTTATTGTAGTCTTTTTGAGACAGCGTCTTGCTATGCAGTTCAGGCTGGCCTTGAGCTCACTTTGTAGCCCAGGCTGGTCTTGAACTCACAATGATCCTCCTGCCTCAGCCTCCTGAGTG